TAATTCCTAAAGGGAACAAATGAACAAGTCCAAGAATAGTCTAGTGGTTAAGAGTACACACACTTTGGGATTCTCTAGGATGGGATTATAATAGCTGCTTTATCAGTTTATGTAGGTAAAACAAAACATATGCTAAATTGACCCAGCAGAAGTACCTAGCAATAAAAAAAAGACAAGGAAGAAACTTAAATGCCATTGTTAAGGGAAAGAAGTTAATCTGAAAAGACCACTATGTATGGTGCCAAGTGTACAGCCTTCTAGAAAACCCAATGCCTAGGTTTGGCATAAGGGGGAGGAAAAGATAAATAGATGGAGCACAGGGAATTTTAAGGACAGTGAAGCTGTTCTGTCTGTAATGGTGAATGTATAACATGAAAATTATAGAAGGCTACAACACAGAGTGAACGCTAATGAACTTCAGTGCATAATAACATAACCAGAGCTGTCAATTGTAACATATATTCCACATTACCATGGGATATTAATAACAGGGCTATTAGTTTCTCAGGGCTGCTGTAACAAAGTACCTCTAAGTGGGTGGCTTAAAACTAGCTAAAGTACTGTATCACCGTTCTGCAGGTTTCAAGTTTTTTTTTTATTGAGTTTATTGGTACAATCTAGGTATACAATACAGTTACATTCATTACTGGAATCCTGTACCTTCACATGACAGGTCTTGGTTCTCATTTTTTCTCCTTGTCCCTGCCCTCCCTTCACCCCCTCATCTCCTCCCCATTTACAAACACTTTATTTCTATTTTTTTCATTTTCTCATATTTTTTTTCTTTTCCCTTATTTCCTTTCCCCTACCCTTCCCACTTTCCTACACCTTTAGCCCTTTCCTTCCTATTTCACACTGTCAATTATCTCATTAGGATCTTGTGTACTGTTATAATTTTTCACACCAGAGAGACTATTCGGTATTTACACATGTGTGACTTACTTATTTCACTTAGGAGTATATCCTCAATATGTATCCATTTTCCTATGTATGACTCTAATTCCTCATTTTTATGGCTGAGTAGTATTCCATTTTATAGAAAAACCACATCTTTATCCAGTTTCCAACAGATGGGCAAATGGGTTGTTTCCAAGTTTTAGCTATTACAAACTGTGCTGCTATAAACATTGGTGCACATATATCACTGTGGTATGTTTCTTTTAATTCTTTTGGAAAGATACCCAGCAGAGGGATGGCTGGGTCAAATAGAACCTCCAGTCCCAGCTCTTTGAGGTATCTCCATATTGATTTCCACAGTGGTTGCGCCAGTCTGCACTCGCACCGACAATGGAGAAGGGTTCCTTTCTCCCCACAACCCCGCCAATATTTGTTATTGGTTGATTTCTTGATAGCAGCCATTCTTTGTGGGGTGAGGTAGAATCTCAGTGTTGTTTTCATCCTGCAGGTTTCAAGTTTGACGTCAAGTACTGAGCAAGCCCAGGATTTTTATGCCACTATTCAGTATATCTTTTCATGAAGGGTTACAGTTCAACCCAAATGAAGGAGAAAGTGGGGGTGAGGGTAGGAGAAAGGGAGTGTATAGAAACTCTGCACTTCCTGTATAGTTTCTTTTCTGCTCTGAGAAATAGTCTATCAATTAAAAATTTTCAAGGGATTTAAAATGGCTACCACGTAGTACGCAAGGGTTAGCTGCCCTTGGAGCCTTCGCTACTTTCTTTGATGTTTTATTCTCAAAGCACTCTGAAGCCAACCCTGGCAGTGCCCCCAAAATCGCAAGGGTCCCTCCTCCTCTCCCACCCACCCATTTACTCTTTGTTTTATGATTAATTTGGAAATACATAGGATTTAACTCTCACCAAAAGGACTTATCCCCATACTTGAGTGCTGCATTTGAAAGAAACCTGCTTAGAATTTCTCTTGCACTTCATTTACACATGTGCATGTATGTGCACACACACACACACACCATAGGATCTCCCAGCTCCCACCAGCCCTGACCCAAACAAAAGCAGAAACAGACTAGTTCTCTTTATTAAGGAACCACGGGAAATATCTACAGTGGGGGCTTATAGAGGAAAATGAAAAAACTTTGTGAATCATAGGGAAGGGAAAGGAAGAGATGACAGTGCCAGGCCCTAGGTGCTGGCACCTCTTGTCACATCCTGCCACCGATCTGGGCCACAAGCTTTGTAATGTCTTTACCAAAAAGAAGATCCCTGTGTTAAGTGAATGAAATCAGTGACACTAACTTTCGTCCCTTAGTTATGGTAGGAATGTCTTGTGAAGCGGTTTGTCCCCTTTACACAAGGAGTCACATCACAGTTCTTTCAATTGCATGATCGCAATCCCCCCAACACACACTAATTTAGCAACTAACACTCCTTCAGATGTTCATACCCGTTTTCAAGAATGTATCTTTCAGATACCGCCATACAAACCTGCCGTAGTCCGTGTTGCTCTCTCATGCCACTCCGCACTGTGACCCTGGAGCACTCCATTCACGGTTTACAGAATCCCTCCGCCTTGACGTTGCATCTTTTCATTGGCTAAGAGTTTACTTCCTAGCCGGTGTTGCAGGAAAGAATTCAGCACTCACGCGGGTGGAGTGGGGAGAGGAATTACTGGCTGGGGACATGGAAACTATTACTCCCGAAGTGGAGGGGAGTCACTTACAATTTTACACAGACAGAGCTCCTCTTACATAGAAACAATTCCAGAGATGTTCAGAAAGGCTTGTGAAGTAAGGGTGTGAGGCTGAAGGAAGACCTGCGGCCCCAGTCTTCAGGGAGACCCACCAAGAACTGTTTCACAAACATGCACACCTATTCTCCCTTGCACAGTACACACACACACCAATCACATAGTATCACCCTATGCACTGGTGTGTTTTCTCTGTCCCTTCTCTCTCAGCTACACTCATACAGAAAAGCACTAGTCTGTAGAGTTGTATGAAATACCACATTCTCACTCATGCCTTTTCACTGTCCCTGAGAGTGCCCTTGTGCACATTCAGCAGAATTCTCGTGGTAGGTAGTTTTTCTATGGTTCAAAAAGAAAAAAACTGCCCAAGTAAGTAACAAAAGGCGATGAGCAGGAGACAGTGGGTAGGAGGAAAAGAATTTGAGTGGGGAGAGAGCCAGTGAGGACAGTTGCCAAAGTGACCTCGTGATCCTCCTCGTGGCTCTTCCCCTGAGTGCTCTGGGACGTCAGCGTTCCTGCAAGCCACGTGCATCTTGAGCTATTTCTTCCTTGCTCCTTAGCATCTCCCGCGCAGGTGCAGGGCACTGTGGCTGACAAGCAGCCGGAACGCACTCTCACCTGTGACCAGCCAGGAGCAGCAACCAGAGGCTCCAAGGATGCTCTCCAAGCTGCTTGGATAAATTGAGAAAAGTCAAACCATTTGCTCACAGACAGACCTCGTTCTCACACCTCTCTGTGCTGTTGCTGTGGTTAATAACTTAATGCAACAGAAGACTATGCTAATGAAAGGAAAAGAGCTTCCTCTCTCTGCAAAACATCTGTACCAAAGTTTCTGTCCTGCTTCCCACAAGTGTGACTCACACACCTGACCTGAGGTTGGAACAGGACCTCATCCCAGGGAAAAAGACTCTCACACAGCTTCCTAAGAAACCCTCAGATCACTTGTTTTCATTCTAATAATGACAGACAGATCAGACTAAAAGTTGTAGACATTTCGTTATAGTGAATTAAATTTTTTTTTTAAACAGTTGTTTTTTTCATCACAGGCAAAGTGTTAGGAAGTACTACTCTTTCTCTAAGTGAAACAGAACAACAGATTAAAGTTTTTAAAGCCCAAATACCAAAATTTGAATTTCTAAAGATTTATGAATAACTTAAATAATATCCTAGAGGATAAGAAAAAGGAAAAAATTTCAAACATTATATAGCTTTGTTTTTGTTGGCTGATGTTTTATTTTTGTTTTTGTGAGCTTTTTGAAGAGGAAGGGAAAATCCTTGAAAATAAAATAATTTGTCAATTCATTTAGGAAGGTTTCTGACCTTCCTTCAAAATCGAAGTTTTGCTCTCTGTTCCTCAAAGATGCCCCCAGTTGACGGCTTAAGGCTTCTCACGCAGGGCGCAGGACTCATCCAATGTGCACAGAAAGAGGTGGAAAATATTTTTGTGATCTGAGGCCTCAGAGCCGAGGATTCCAGAGGAAGTGGAGGCCTCCTGCTCCACACAGGAAACAATCTTCAAGCAGGCAGGCCTTAAATGCCAGATTCCAGGCCGAGTTTAACTAACCACTGACAGCTCTGTAAACAAAGCAAGGACAAAAAGCGCCCGCTTCCCCTTTCCTGGTAGTCATTTTGGGTTTGGGGGCTGCAGGGAAATTCTGGAATCCTTGACTCCATGGCACAGAAACACGGGAGAAGCGGGCTCCTTCTCTGAAGAGCTGGAAAGCGAAGATCTTTCCTAAATTAAAACTATCACAGAGGAGGTAGGAAGGGGTAGAGAGAGCTGAGATTTTTGAGCACGATTACCACTTGAAGTGCTGTTAAAAATGCTGCTTCACAATGTTTATTCATCAAATTATTGCTGTAGCCTTTATTAAAATCTGGATGCTAGTAGTCATTTAGGGAATATAAGTGATATTTAGATGCTGCAGTATTTCTCTCTTTTACTTTTTTTCTCTTGTGCCTTTTTTTCCTCTCTCTCTTTGTATGCTTTTTCATAACTTTTGTCTAAGGGTTCAGCAAGTTACAAAGAATCAAATTATTCAGTCATTCTACCAATATTTTAAGTCTTTAAGACCTCTTTGTCTCTGGGGATCTTTTATTATTTTTTTTTTAAATGTAACCCTGGGATTTTATGGATTTGTCCCTAATTATTTCAGGAATGATGCTGAACTGAACTTAGTCTGGGAGTTAGAAATTGATATCTAGCTACCTTATCATCTTCAAAGGCATTTTTCTTAAGAATAGAGAAAGAAAGGAGTGAAAATGAAGGAATAAATCAATGTCTGAGGGATAATGGCTCAGATATGATATTGACTCTCCCTCTTCCCATTTCATTCCAGACATCATCTGGTCTCCCTAAACCTTGAAACCTCACCATGGATGATTTTGAACGTCGCAGAGAACTCAGGAGACAAAAGAGGGAGGAGATGCGTCTGGAAGCAGAAAGGTAGGAAATCCAAGTTACAGATCCTTGTGTTTCATTATTAACAATGTTGGTCTCAGGCCTCAGAGACTGAGGAACACTGGTGTGCCAAGCTGGGCCACTGTGCGCGTCAAACTGGGCATAAAAGAAGTAATGGAAAGTTCCCCTGACACTGAGACTTTACATTTTGCATTTAAAAACAAAGGAAAACAAACGAGTAGGAATAAAAAGGAGCTGGGAGAAGAGTCACACGGTTGCATTTAATCAGTGCTTTTCATGGTTGAAGTTTTAATGGCATAGCCAACGTGTAAAGAAAGGTTTAAATAGTTAATGATATTCAAATTACAGGAAAATGTCAAATATTGAATACTGTAACCATTTAAGAAATGAGTCTTTACTCTAAAAAAGGAAAGACAAGAAGTCCCAGAGGAGACTCGTGACAAATGTTATTCTATAGAGAAGCACCCAAGTCCGGGAATCGCTGTGGAGACTGTGGTATAGCTGGAAACTGTCATGCTGTGGGAGGCCTCTGGAGTGGTGACTTTGAGAGCAGGCTGCAGAAATAGACTATCGGCATATAAAGTGTAGAACACGAATGTGTATGTTAACATTTAAGCCCAAAACGAACAGTGGCATTTAATGTGGCTTAAATCAGATGTTCTTTTGAGAAAGCAGATCAGACAGCCACAGGAGAAAACTATGTAAAAAATGTCCTTGAATTCAAATCAGTTTATCTCCTCGTAATCCCAATGTATAGATGAAAAGATGGCAGCAAGATGATCCTTCATTCCATCATTCTGCAGTAGTAAACTGAAAGCTTCCACCAACAGCCTGGGGGCCTTATGTCCTACTTATTTGTATAAAGACTGTAAAGAAAGATAACATTCCTGCCTTGGACTAGGTTGGCCAGAGTCTATGCATATACACAGAGCACCACAAACATTATGTGTGCTCGTAGAATCAAATCCTATCCATATCACTTACGAGCTATGTGGTCATGAGCAGGTGACCTCTCTCTAATCCACAGCTGCCCATCTGTATAGCATAGAAGCTACCAAGCTTGTGTGCTTGTCATAAAAAGTATTGAACTTCCTAAGTGCCCTTGCCCAGTACCTGGTACATTGTGTCCATAAATGACAGTTATTATCGTTATTGTTATTATTTACCATTATCGCTAGCTAAACAGGTTAAAAAGAGAACAACTAGTAGTAAACCAGGAAGTAAATATTAACACCAAGAGAAGAAGAAGTAACCATCGTCCTTCAATGAAACTAGTCAGAAAGGGATTTTTTGGAAAGGTAAGCCATGGAAAGTGATGGTAATGATGAACCATAAAGGACAGGCTGCTAAGAAGGGAAATGAGCTCAGCAAAAGCTCAGAAGCAGAAATACAAATTCTGGTGCAAGACATCTGTTTAGTGCTTGAAGGAAAAGGGGGTTGGTCTTGCACATCTTGGGTGTTTCTGTAATAGGAATAGAAGAGGTTTAAAAAGCAAGTTATGTGTGATGAAAGTATGTTGGAGAAAGTCATCTGCAGTGGACTGGAACACAGAGATACAAGCACTAGTAGAGTTAGTACTGAGCGTTCAGCCTGAATCAAGACTTTGACTATGGAATTGATGAGATCACATGTGCAAGTCATTATAGAGGGAGCATTAGAAAGCCTTTTAGGAAAGAGAAGTCTGAGGAACTGGAGAGAAAGTCTCCGCATTATTCCAAAGGGAGAAGATGGGAAGGATTCCTTTCATGAGTAGTCATGGCAATAGTGTCTCATTTCAGGTAGAAACCACATCCAAATGAAGGTTTCCGCTTAGTGGAGAGAGATAGAAAATTTCAATCTTTGTTCAGAAAAGAAGATAAATTATTATTAGAAAAGTACATTTGGGCAAATTTATATGGTGGTGGTATATAAGCTGAAATAGTGATATTCCCAAGAAAGCAGGTATATAAATAAGAGGTCCTAAAAACATAAGAGACACTGTCAAAGGAGACAAAACATCAGAGATGGGGACGAGCAGGGAGAGAAGTGGACATCAAAGGCTCATAGACAGTGTCCAGGCAGGCCCAGCAAAACAACCTCTCATTCTCTCCACTACCATGTTATTTGGCTTCAGGCTCCCCTAACAATCTGCAAAACATCTTTGCCAAGAAATATTTATTAAGCACCACCCAGGTTCCAGTGTCTATGCTTGGGGTGGGGGAAATAATGCTGACAAATAAATAGACATGGTTTCTGCTTTTAATGTATCTCAGGACACGGCAGGAAACCAGAGTTGAGTAGGATCAGGAAATCAGAGCAGAGGGGCAGACCTACCAACGGTGAAGCTAGGACTGAGAGGAAGGAGGACTTGGATATTAGCCATCATATTAGACTCATATTGTCAGCTCCTTTGTTTTCTACATGAGCGAAAGTTAGGAAATCGTTGTGAAACAAGTGACAGAATTAACTTTCTGTGGTTAGAGTGACACTGCGATGAAACTAGATAAGCCAAAGCTTTTCAGATCCAGGGCTTTGCCTAAGAATTGCCTACAAAGCTACAGTACTTGATTAATTCTTCTCTTTTTTTTTTTCTTTTATTGAGTCTGTTGGTACATTTAAGGTATACAGTACAATTTCGTTCATTACTGGATACTTGTACCTTTACATGACAGGTCTTGGTTCTCATTTTATCTTTTCTTATTTTTGATTGTTTGTGTGTCTGCACGTGGGTGTGTGTAGAAGGATTTATTTTCCTTTAATGTCAATCTTAAAAGGAATTTACATGGTAAAGTTGAGTGGGGTGTCCTTTACAACCTAAAAAAATTGCATGAATATATCCTAACACTTTTTTTCATTGAGTTTATCGGTACTTTTTAGGTGTACAATACGGTTATATTCATCTTTGGGATCTTGAATCTTTACCTGACAGATCTCAGGTTTTGTTTTTCCCCATTCCCCTGCCCTTCCTTCACCCCCTCCACCCTTCTCTATTTACAAAGACTTTGTTTCCATTTTTTTCCTTTTCTCATATTTTTTTCTCTTCCTGTCTTTCCTTTCACCTACCCTTCCAACTTCCCCTACTTCTTTAGACCTTTTCTTCTTATTTCATATTATCAATTATACAATTGGAACCTTGTTTACATTCTTAGCCTTTTCCACACCTGAAAAAATATTTGGTATTTACGTGTTTGTCCTACTTATTTCACTTAAAGAGTATCACTTCAATGTGCATCCATTTAGCTATAACTGTCTCTAGTTTCTCATTCTTTATGGCTGAGTAGTGCTCCATTTTATAGAAAAACCATATCTTCTTTATCTAATCTACAGGGAGATGGGCAATTGGGCTGTTTCTGAGTTTTAGCTATTACAAACTGTGCCACTATAAACATGGGTGTGCATATATTGCTGTGGCATGATGCTTATAATTATTTTGGAAAGATAGCTAGCAAGGGATGGCTGGGTCCAATGGGACTTCTAATCCTACTTTTTTTTAGTTATCTCCACATTTATTTCCACAGTGGTTGCACCAGTCTGCACTCCCACCAACAATGGAGAAGGGTTCCTTTCTCCCCACAACCTCGCCAACATTTGTTTTGGTTGAGTTCAAAATAGCAGCCATTCTTTGTGGGGTGAGGTGGAATTTCAGTGTTGTTTTCATCTGTATCTCTCAAATGACCAGTGATGCTGAACATTTTTTCATATGTTTATTTGCTGCTTTTCCTTCTTTCTCTGAGAAATGTCTGTTCATTTCAGATGCCCTTTTTTTTTTTCCTCATTGAGTTTATTGGTACATTTTAGGTATACAGCACAGTTACATTCATCATTGGGATCTTGTACCTTCACATGACAAGTCTTGGTTCTCATTTTTTCTCCTTGTCCCTGCCCTCCCTTCACCCCTTCCTCCCCTCCCCATTTACAAATACTTTATTTCCATTTTTTCATTTTCTCATTTTTTTTTCTTTTCCCTTATTCCCTTTCCCCCACCTTTCCCACTTTCCCTACACCTTTAGCCCTTTTCTTTCTATTTCACATTGTAATTAGAGCATTAGGATCTTATGTACCATTATAGTTTTTCACACCAGAGAAACTATTTGGTATTCATACATGTGTGACTTTATTTATATTACTTACATACTTGAGTATATCCTCAATATGTTTCCATTTTCCTATGTATGACTCTACTTTCTCATTCTTTATGGCTGAGTAGTATTCCATTTTATAGAAAAACCGCATGTTCTTTATCCAATTTCCAACTGATGGGCAAATGGGCTGTTTCCAAGTTTTAGCTATTATAAACTGTGCCTCTATAAACATAGGTGTGCATACATTGCTGTGATATGATTCTTTTAATTCTTTTGGAAAGATACCCAGCAGAGGGATGGCTGGATCAAGTGGAACCTCTAGTCCCAGCTCTTTGAGGTATCTCCATATTGATTTCCATAGTGGTTGCACCAGTCTGCACTCCCACCAACAATGGAGAAGGGTTCCTTTCTCCCCACAACCCCACCAACATTTGTTATTGGTTGATTTCTTGATAGCAGCCATTCTTTGTGGGGTGAGGTGGAATCTCAGGGTTGTTTTCATCTATTTCTCAAATGTATGTATGCATCTTTAGGCCCAGTACTAATAATGGCACCAGGAATAGGTATGTCTGAATGAAATATACATCTTTCATATGAAAGAAGGAACATCAAGAAGTGGAATGGTCAATAAGATCCCAATGATGAATGTGACTGTACTGTATACTTTAAAAGTACCAATAAACTCAATAAGATAAAAGAAAAAAAAAGAAGCAGAGTGGTCAGAGATGGTGTCACTTAGCAGCTATAGATACAGGCTGTGGGGTCAATTTCTGGGTCTGCTACTTGTTAGCTACCTGATCTTACAGATTATTTAATCTTTCACTTTCTTCTGTTTCCTTTTGTGTAAAGTGGTAGAAATAAAAGTACCTACCTCCCTGGGTTTTTGTGGGAATTTAAAGAGACAATGCATGAAAGTTTTAATACTGTGCTCTATAAACATTTGGCGAACACCACTATTGTTAC